CACAACTTGCTGCCATGACCAACATGATCAAAAATATAAACTATTGGTAGCAGCAACAATAATGTCCAAAATGTTAACCAACCCAGAATCATTATGACAATTATCCCTCAAATCCTATCAAAACAAAAACATCCCTTTAATGGGAGCTCCAAAACTAGGGTTCTTAGCAGATCTGATCCTTGACCTATACGTTGACCTTCTGGTTCTGAGGTTTGCCTTGATTCCTTGGGCATTATGGCTTCATCGAAGTTATTTTGAAGATGGTTTGTTTTGTTGAGTTCACACACACAAGAACAGAAGAAGGCCAATCTGGACCACACTTTTGATATCGTAAGATGGAATGATTCATCCGTACTACCAAAAATCTATAATATCGAACATGAAGCAAGCACGACACAGTCAGATAATGTATACCAGCTTAAATGCAGAAGTCCCATAGTCTATTGTCCAAGGCTAATAAAAAACCAACAGTACAAGCGGAACCTGAAACCAACGAGCAGTATGTAGTTTTGATACCACAAAAAGATGTGAGGTCATGAATCAGATGGCATAGTGAAATCATATAGCAAGGAGTTACCACAAGAGAACCATGAAATCTGGACTCCACACTGCAAGAATGTTAAGGCAGGGAGCACCACACCTTTGATAACACAAGAAAATCGAAATGGATGATATGGGAGCAAGATCAAGAAGGTCGTGAAATCAGAAAGCAAAAAGACTGAAATCAGCAATTCCAAGTGTCTTCTATATGCAAGGTTGTATGTAGGACAACCACATACTTTTCACATTTAGAAATTATTAAGATGCATATTAACTTGACCTACACTGAGCAATTTTCATATATTTAGTAGCAAAAATAAAATATATGTACATATTTCTACTAAAAAACAGGAACAAAAGTTAATATTATTAACGTTTTCATATACATTGTCAACGGGTTTTCATAAATAAAATGAAGCAGCGATGGACATTTTTATCGCTGTCAAACACAAATACATAGTAGTTGGTGCACAAAAGAGGAAATACAACAAATTACACCGTAAAGATAGAGATGCGGTGATTATTGAAGCAAAAGACCAATAATTGAATGATAATTATTCACTTAACCCAAAAAACAGAACAAAGTTCTCAAATCCAGAAAGAAACTCGAGAAGAAAATACGAGATCTCAGCTAAATATTGTTTTTTCTATCTAGTTCATACTTCGAAAAAAAAGAAGGCAAAATCATTGCTAAATGAAGCCCAACCTTTTGGTTAAGCTTAAGGATGCAACCTTTTAAATTTTTGACCAAAGAGCAGAAAAGACTAAGAGTGATCAACAAAAAGATACCCATCTACTTTGGATGTGGCAAGGATCAGAACGATGTTTCATATAATTAACACAAAGAACATGTGTTTTCGAACTGATATAAGGGCGTGTAGAAAGGGGCACGGTTGAATGGTGTATGTGTGTATTGTATATGCAAGGGTGCGGTGGAAGGAGCCGGGGGTTGCGTTGTGGAAGGCACCACAACCGAGATAGTTGCAGAAATGCAACAAAGTTATGTTCTTGTTCTGCTTATTAAAATGTATTTCAAGCATTTAACTAACAGTAATCTGCTGTCTTTTAATTAGCGCATGATATACACTACATAG